TGCCTATAACTAATATTATATTTTAAAACTCTATAGGATCTGTAGTAATGGCCTCTTTGTTTTCATATTATTCATATTTTGTGACTTCTTTTTTGTACTTATTCAATCTTTCAAAAAAACAACTTTTTGGTTTTTAAAAAATCATTTCTTCATATGTCCTTTAATATTTCTTTTTTTTTCCTTTATAATTATCATGTTCTTCCTATTTCTTTGGTTTTAATTTAAAATTATTTTCTAAATTATTAAATTTGATTTTTAGCTTTTATTTTTTTAAAAGTAAATGTACTTAGGCTATAAATTTCTCTCTAAAAATGGCTTTGATATTATCCACAAACTTCTTTAAATTTTGTTACCATTCAATTAAAATATATTCTAATTTCCATTCTGACTTCTTTTTATCTTATTAGAAATTAATAAGACTACTGCTAAATTCCCAAATACTGGAGGATTAAAGATATATTTGTTTTTATTTCTAATTGGATTTCCTTTCATTAAGATAACATACTCTACATGCTTTTCATTCGTTTTGGGTGAACTTCTTAGCTCAGCATTTGTCGAACATAATATAATTGTTATGTGTAGTTGAAAATAAAGTACATTATTCAGTGGTTATATGCAAGGTTTTATTTAATAGGTCAAGTTTATTAATGATGTCATTCAAAATACACCTCTACTGAATTATTTTGTCTGATTGTTTTCTATCAATTACCTGGAAAGATGTGTATAAAGCACTCATTATGATTAGAATTTATTTCTCCTTTTATTCCTGTTAACCTTTGTTATATATGTTTTTATTTTATTTGGTTATTTGATGGGTATTAGCTGCCTAAAATTTAAAATTGCTACATTTTCATAGATTATTGCTTTTATCATTATGAAATTGCCTCAATTTCTAGCAACAACTGCCTGAAGTTCACCTTGTCTGATATTATATCTACAATGGCTTTTGCTTAGATAGTGTTATATGGTATATCTTTTTTTATTGTTTTACTTTTAATATTTCTGTAACATCAAATTCAATAATGAATATAAATGAGTTTTGTTTTGTATACAATCTGACCATCTCTGTCTGACAATCACATACATACAACATATGGATTTAAATTTATAACTTCTTTGGATTCATTATTTGTATTGTCCCATTTTATACATTTTGTTACTGTACAGTTTGTAGTTGCCCCAGCAGTTGCCACATGCTTTTGTGACTTATTAAATTCTAAAATAAATGAGTACTTTTACCAGTTGTTGTAGATTGCTAGGACATGAGAATACTCTTATTTCTCCCCTCTCATTGTGCTATTATTGTCATATATTTTCATTTAATAAATATTTTAAACTCTGGAAGACATCATTATAGTCAACACTCACACTTGCAAAAATATTTATGCTTTTGATTTCTTCTTAATTTTTTTTTACCTGTTTATAAATCTACCTACCTACTTTCCTTCTGCCTGGGGAAAAAAAACTCCCTTTAGTACTTTCTTTACAGTGTATCTGCTCTTATTGAGTCTCTCAAGTTTAATTTTTCTCAAAAGTGTCTCTCTTTTACTTTGTTTTAAAGAATATTTTCACTAGATAAAGAATTCTAACGTAGTATTTTTTTTCTATTTTAGTATTTTGAGGATGACATCTTTGTCTTCCATAAAATGATAATTTCCCCCAAACCACCTAAAATCATGACTCTCATATGAATAAAAAATAAATACATGTCAAAGATTTCACATAACTCATTAATTAATGAGAAAAGCTATAAGAAGCCAAACAGTAGGATCAAATGAGAATTTGGCTTAGAGAGACACATGATCTCTACCTGGCAACATTTACTTGCTGGTCACAGGTGAAATTCCATGAATAGGGACTCTGCATCCTCTCCATTCAAATTCCCATTTCTCTCTATTCCAATTACCTTCAGAAGTCTCTGATCCACTGTGTTTTGGGGACTTACTCTGCTTTCTATCCCTTCCATGCTAGAAGTCCAAAGAAATTCTGACCATGTGAGAAGCAGACCTTATGACATGGTAGCCACTCTCTCACGTTCTTCCCATGCCTATATGACAGCACTACATTGCTGCAGGGTTTTTCCAAGTGTGGTGGGCATTTCTAACCATGTTGAAACTTTTCTGGACTATGTCTCAAAAAATGCAGAATGTGCCTTCTCCTTGGGAGTTGCTTAACTCTATATTTGAATGGGTGTGGTCTACCACCACCTTCCCAATATTAGTTTCCACTATGAGGTGGAAGGAAGAATCATACTACCCATATCTAACCTTTTTTCTCTTCATTTCTCCCTTCCTTCATCCCACTGGCCAGCAACAGGAAATGTTTCTCTTTCCTGAGAGCAAGAATGTCCCTTACATAATACCGGTACACTTGGTTCAATTCTTTGAACTGTGAGTCTCACTATGCAAAATCTCAGCATTACTAAGGGAGTTATAAATATCAAATTTGAATGTGAGCAATTTTTTTTCCCATTATTTATGTGACCGTTAGCTAAATTTTTGTTTTTTCAAACAAAAGCCTCATGTTCTTCATGATAAGATTCAAGAAAATGAGAGAAAGTTCCTTAGAACTTAAAATGCATGCAATAGGGGACAACTCAAACATCTTGATATACATAAATGCATCATACACATCTTTAATTGATACATCTTATGGCATATTATTAGAGATACTCTTTAAGGGATAAGAGGGAGCATCACCCAATGCTTAGTATAGAATGACTTCCTATGATGAATTGACATTATTAAAAGGAAATATGAATAGGTTTATAACCAATGCCATTTTCCCCCACATTAACAAGCATTCTCTTGCAAATCATGCCAATATCTTTGAAAATCATATTCTAATGGGTACTGGTTGGTCTTTTTTGGGGGTTGGTTCCTCAAAAAGTTAGACACAGAATTACCATATGACCCAGCAATTTCACTGCTAGGTATTTACCCATGAGAAAGGGAAACGTACATTACCAGAAGCTTGTACACGAATGTTTACAACAGGATTACTCATGAGAGCAAAAGTGGGGCAACGCCCAAATATCTAACATTGTATGAATAAGCAAACTGTGATGTATAGGGGGTTCGGGAAAAGTAGGTTCACAGTTGCATCGTGACATCCTGTTGAGTTAATAAAGCAATTGTAATTATCATAACCTGTATGTCTTTTTCCATAGAAACAACTGCAAGCTACTTTTGCCCACCCCTGTACACACAATGAAATATTATTCAAAAATAAAAATGATGCACTGGTACATATTATAATTTAAATTGTCATAAAAATATTTTGTTAAATGAAAGAAGCCAGATACAAAATTCACATATTTTTGTGATTCCTTGTATGTGATATATTTAGAATAAGTAAATTCATAGGGACAGAAAGCAAATTAGAGATTACCAGGGAATTGAGGTAGACAGAATAGGGAGTGGTTAGTCTCTGGTTATGGGTGTTTTTGTAGGGTGATTAAAAATTTTTGAAACTAGGGAGAGAGCTGTAGTTGTGCAACATTGTGAGTAAGCTAAATGCCACTGAATTGTACACTTTAAAATTATTATATTTTGTGAATTTTATTTTAATAAAAATTTATATGAAAAAATGTTAACATTATTACAAACCTACCCACTAGGGGATGCTGCTTCCATTAAGAAATGTGACTAGTATTTATTCATTTTATTTATTTATTTATTTTACAGAATAAGGAGGAGAGTTAGCCTTGCAAATACATTTTTTGCTTATTTTGCATCTACTTTAAATTTTTTAAATAGAAGCAAATGTCTCCACATTTTGGAGACATTCCTGGAAAAGCAATGTTTTACATGTGACAGTGCTCTTCAAGAAAAAAAGCTTGTGTTGAAGCATCCATATTAAGAAAAGATTTCTTTGCATGAGCAAAGACCTCACAGCTTAAAAATTAAACCAATATGGCCCTAACTGGTTTGGCTCAGTGGATAGAGCGTTGGCCTGTGGACTGAAGAGTCCCAGGTTCAATTCCGGTCAAGGGCATGTACCTTGGTTGTGGGCACATCCCCAGTGGGGTGTGTGCAAGAGGCAGCTGATCGATGTCTCTCTCTCATCGATGTTTCTGACTCTCTATCACTCTCCCTTCCTCTCTGTAAAAAATCAATAAAAATATATTTTAAAAAAAATTAAACCAATATGAATAAATTATGAAACTAAAGAAAAGGTTCATGGAAAACATTTCAAAGACTCACTTAAACCTGAATCAGCAAAGTATCCAAGTATTTATATTAATACAATGTTTCAAATAATTTTGTTATTATTACTGTGACTAATTGAGTAGGTCTTGAAAGTATATAATCGTATTTTTGTAAGGAGAGCAAAATTTGGTTGTCTAACTCAGCTCATGTCTTGCATTCTTTCTCTGATTCATGAAATAAATTGCTATTTATTAATTGATAAAGCAACATTTGTTGAAGTTGTTAAAATAACTAGACCATAATCTCCATGAGTTTCTGTGGCCAGGGTTTTTATCAAAATAACACAGGAAGTATCATGATTCCACATAGGTGGAATATTTCTTTTCAGCTCCAAAACCATTCAATGAGTTACTCTTCCTACAAAGAGAATGTCCACCTTGTACTGTATATAACAAAACCCATTATAACAGAGAAAAATTAGCCCAGGAAAACATAGCCCCCAAAGTAAATCTGATCCAAAGCATTGTGATTAGTACCATATCCTATATAATAAAAGTATAATATGTAAATCAACTGAACCGCCAAACAGCGGAACGGATATCCGGATGACCATCCAGGACCACACTATGACACCCTGGGGCCAGCCCAGTCAAGGCAGGTGCGATGCGATTGGTTAGGGGCTTGGCCATCGTCCCATGATTGCCCCACAGAGGGAGGCCCAGGCCACCTACCAACTGGCTGCCGCGGGTGGATGGGGCCTCCCTCTGTGAGGGAAGCCAAGGTCTGGGTGCAAGAGGGAAGCTAGTGCTGGCAGCCAGGGGAAGGCAGGCCTACTCTTGCACAAATTTCCTGCATCGGGCCTCTAGTAATGATATCATGGTGTAGTCATTCTTGGGTTAAATTATAAACAGTCGGCATTTTCCAAGGCACAGA